CAGATGCAAAACAGTGGCACAGAAGATTGGGACACATTAATAGTAATGATTTGCAGAAGATGAAAAATGGTGCTGTAGACGGAATATCGTTTGATATGAAGGCTAATATAAAAAAATCCAACTGTCAAGTATGTTGTGAAGGGAAACAGAGTCGTTTACCGTTCCAATTACGAAACCATAGAAGTACAGAATTGCTAGATTTAGTTCACTCAGATCTGTGTGGGCCTATGGAGGTTCGATCGATTGGACAGGCAAGATATTTTCTATTGTTTGTTGACGATGCTAGCAGGATGGCTTTTGTATATTTTATAAAGGAGAAGAATCAGACTCTACAGCGTTTCAAGGAATTTCAAAAAATGGTTGAGAATCAAAAAGGAACAAAGATAAAAACATTGAGAACCGACAATGGAGGGGAGTTTTCTTCAGATATGATGGAAAATTATCTGATAGATAGTGGAATTATCCATCAGAAGACGAACCCATATACTCCGGAGCAGAATGGTCTCAGCGAACGTTTCAACAGGACTATAGTTGAACGTGCAAGATGTTTATTGTTCGAGGCCAAACTGGATAAAAGTTTTTGGGCAGAAGCAGTTAACACGGCAGTATACTTGAAAAATAGATCACCGGCTTCAGGTTTGGACCAAAAGACACCGATTGAAGTATGGACAGGACAAAAGCCTGATCTCAGTCATGTCAGAATATTTGGGAGCCCAGTAATGATGCATGTTCCTAAAAATAAAAGATTGAAATGGGACAAGAAAGCAGTTCAATTCATATTAGTGGGGTATCCAGAGAATGTGAAAGGCTACAGATTGTATAACTTAGAAACTAGAAAAATATGTACCAGCAGAGATGTCATTGTAATGGAACCAGATACTACTCAAATAGAAATAAACGAAGGACAGATAGAAAAACAGCAGTCAGCACAAGAGGAAAGTTCTACTGAAGAAAGTGAAATAACATTGACAAATCAGGATGATCCCACTTATGTATATGATTCAGAAAAAAGTACAACTTCTACTGAAGGAGACTCTTATCAGACATTATCTGAAGAAGAAGAGCTATCTGAGAAAGAAGAGCCTCGATTGGTGGAAAAGCGTACCAGGAAACCTCCTGAAAGGTATGGTTTTACCAATCTTTGTATTTCAGATGAACCAGAGTCTTGGTTTGAAGACATAACTTATGATGAAGCTACCAACGGTCCAGAGAAAGACAAGTGGCAGCAGGCTATGTCTGATGAACTTCAAGCGTTTGAAGACAACCAAGCGTGGGAGATTGTTAAACAAGAGGAGGCAGATAGAGTAGTACAGTGCAAATGGGTGTTCAAGAAAAAGCTAGAAAGCAATAACAGTGTTAGGTATAGAGCTAGACTTGTAGCGAAAGGTTACACTCAGCAGCATGGAGTAGATTTTAACGAAACTTACTCACCAGTGCTTAGATACTCTACACTTAGACTTCTGTTTGCATTAAGTGTAAAATTTCATTTTGAAATCTTTCATCTTGATGTAGTTACAGCATTTTTAAATGGTTTTTTAACAGAAAATGTGTACATGTACGCACCTCCTAGCTTAAATTGTCCAAGTAATTGTGTTCTTAAACTTAAAAAAGCAGTTTATGGTTTGAAGCAGTCTGCTAGGGCATGGAATACCAGAATAAATGATTATTTAATAGACATGGATTATGTAAAGTCAGTTTCAGAACCATGTTTGTATAGTAAAAAATGTAAAAATGAGCAGATTATCATTGCAATATTTGTTGATGATTTTTTCATTTTTTCTAATAGTAAGACTATGACTAATGATTTCAAGAAAAAGCTAATGTCAAAATTTAAAATCAAAGATTTAGGTAAAATAAAAAGGTGTTTAGGCATGCGAGTGAAATATGAAAATAATTGTATCACCATTGATCAGGAACAATTTGTAAAACAAATTCTTAAAAAGTTTTATATGAATGATTGTAATACAAAAGATACTCCAATGGAATGTAATTTGAGATTAAATAAGGCAGAATGTGTTGACAAACAGTTTCCCTATCAACAGCTTATAGGAAATCTTATGTATTTGTCAGTATTAACGCGTCCAGATATATCATACAGTGTGAGCTATCTTAGCCAATTTAATAATTGTTTTACTTCAGTTCATTGGCATCATGCAAAAAGAATTTTAAAATATTTACAAAAAACTAAGTCTTACGGTTTGAAGTTTACTAAAGACACTTGTAATTTAGAAGGCTTCGTAGATGCTGATTGGGCTTCAAATAGTATAGATAGGAAATCCTACACAGGTTTTTGCTTTAAATTGTCAGGCTGTGTAGTATCCTATGAATGCAGGAAGCAACAAACAGTAGCGTTGTCAAGTACTGAAGCCGAATACATGGCCATTGCTGAGGCATGTAAAGAAGCAATATATTTAAAAAGTATTTTATCAGATATTGTTGATTGTAATTATACTGTTGTAATCTACAACGATAACCAGGGAGCTCAAAAGTTGACGGAAAATCCTTTGTTTCACAAACGAACTAAGCACATAGATGTGCGCTACCATTTTATACGAGAAGCAGTTTCTAATAAGCTTGTAAAAATTGTTTATCTGTCAACGTCTGAGATGCCCGCCGATATATTAACGAAAAGTCTAAGTGGTGCCAAACATAACTATTTAGTAAAATTATTAGGAGTTCAAAAAGTTTAAAAACGTCAAGGTCAAGTTATTGTTCTTGATTTTGTTGTTAATTGATATTAGATTATTTTGATAAGTGGTGCTGTTAAAATATGTTTATTTATTAATATCAAAATAATAAGTTTAATTTATACTAGCGGCATCTAGTGGTTACAATATGTACTAGTAGTGTACCATAGTCAATTACCAAGAAATGAGTCGTCTATTATCAAAGGTGGCAATCTGTGCATTTGGACAAAAAAAAATTATTGATATGTCAATACAGATTTATTTGAATATAATCGTCTCCTTCAAAGAATACGGTTCAAAACCTGCATTAAATGAAGGTTAATAGTTAACCTGTTATTTATCTAAGATGTCGTTCCGAAGAGTTTTGTGACTGCCAATGGAATACAAAGTCAATAATTCGTTTTTCTGATTTACCAATCATTGTCCAAAAGTCAGATTGCCGCCTTTGATAATAGTCGACTCAAATAAAGTACTTCATTCTCAACCGTCATCTCATTCGTTTCAATAAAAAAAACGGTAATAAGAACACATCCCAGGCATTGGATCGGTAATAGGAATTTGGCCCTTCCCATCAATTTTTATTTTTTACTTTTTTTAATTTATTTTTGCTAGTTGTTCCTTAATTGCATTAAAAAAAAGAGTTATCTTTGGAACTTTTTTTTTTTTTTTTATTGCTTAGATGGATGGACGAGTTCACAGCCCACCTGATGTTAAGTGGTTACTGGAGCCCATAGACATCTACAACGTAAATGCGCCATCCACCTCGAGATATAAGTTCTAAGGTCTCAGTATAGTTACGACGGCTACCACACCCTTCGAACCGAAACGCATTACTGCTTCACGGCGGAAATAGGCGGGGTGGTGGTACCTACCCGTGCGGACTCCCAAGAGGTCCTACCACCAGTGATTACGCAAATTATAATTTTGCGGGTTTTGATTTTTATTACACGATGTTATTCCTTCATATTGGAAGTCAATCGTGAACATTTGTTGAGTACGTATTTCATTAGAAAAATTGGTACCCGCCTGCGGGATTCGAACACCGGTGCATCGCTACATACCAATGCACCGGACGTCTTATCCTTTAGGCCACGACGACTAAAAATGTCAAAAAAAATTAGAAAAAGCCAGTGATTGAACAACTGCTTATTTTTTACTTATCAATATGAATCTGGCTTAAACTGGCGGTAATGGCTGCGCTTACGTTAGACAGATTTTTGCTACGGAACAGCATGGGTTCATTAAGGCAAGATCGACAACTACGAACTTGTTGTCTTTTGTCGAGGACTTGACTCAAGGTGTTGACCATGGAGATTCATTAGACACTATATACACACTATATACTTAGTAAGACCTTCGACAGAGTTAACCATAATTTACTGCTGTCGAAGCTGTCGTCGTACGGGATTGCTGGTACACTTTTGCATTGGCTTCAATCATATTTAACTAACAGATCGTCCACGGTTGTTGCGGGGGGTCACTCGTAGATGTCCTTCCCAGTTTTGTCTGGGGTTCCCCAAGGCTCTCATTTGAGTCCTCTACTTTTTAATGCATTTATCAACGACATTGGCTCGTGTTTTCGTAGCACAGAGTTCTATATGTTCGCGGACGACTTAAAATTCTTCAGGAAAGTAAACTCATCTCTTGACTGTGAATTATTGCAGAGGGATTTGGACAGTTTGTTTGGCTGGTGCAGTGCGAATGGCATGAGTCTGAATATCAGTAATTTTATTTTTATTTTTTATTGCTTAGATGGTTGGACGAGCTCACAGCCCACCTGGAGTAAAGTGGCTACTGGAGCCCATAGACATCTACAACGTAAATGCGCCACCCATCTTGAGATATAAGTTCTAAGATCTCAGTATAGTTACAACGGCTGCCCCACCCTTCAAACCGAAACGCATTACTGCTTCACGGCAGAAATAGGCAGGGTAGTGGTACCTACCCGCGCGGACACACGAGAGGTCCTACCACCAGTTGTAGCGTTACTAAACAAAATAGCACACGTAAATACAAAATCGTTTATATTTTATGTTGTTTCGATAAATGATGTAATAACTGACCGACTTTCCAGATAATAAGTTACCCAAAATCTAAAACAGAATTAATATTTTCGATGATGGGGTTAGCGGTCGAATAACAATAAAATGTACGCATTGTGGGTAAAACGCGGGCGTGCGAGAGAGACAGCAACATGTGCAGTTACGGAGACACTTAATAGAATTATTGGTGAAACGATTAACTGCTACGTAATTGAAAAATATAAATTCGTTATTTAAAAAAAAGGGTTCTTTTTTTTATTCTTACATGAAAAGAGCAGGGAACGTCGATGGATTTAAAAAATCTGTGCGAACGTCACTGTCGTGTTACATTGACGACTAGCTTCATACTGTCAAATTCAGTGACGTCATTAGCCCCTACGAACGGCGAACAGAATGATTTTTGAAACGACTTACGTAGCTAAAAACCTTACGAGACAACTTAATGTTAATAAAACTGTAATAGGTTTGGTGGTAGTCGAAGAATTCGGCTTAACCTTGGCGACGATATCTTTTGTTATGTTCTTGGCTTTATTCACGAATTTCTCCAGAATATCGGACCTCGGAGTGATGTCACAGGCTGTATGACTTATAGCGTGGACGACGGGAGCGGAAAACACCCTAAAGTTCACTTCGTTAAGATCCAATTTTCCGTACATCCAAATCGGCAATCGATTCGAAAGGATCCATAAGTTATCCTCGTAATCGACTTTTATATCGGTAGGGTACACCATGGTCTCCTCGTTCATGTAAATTCTGCCTTGATTCTTCATCAGGTATTTGTTGTTCGATGTCCGCCAACAGGCCACAGCGTTTAGATTCACTAACGAATAAAATAGGACACCGGTTTTTCTATCCACAAACGAAACACTTGATTGAGCGTTTGGCCCCCGGCTCCCTAACAGTTTGAAGGCATCAAAGTTATCATCGGCGACGGTTTGGTTCCTTAAGTACTCAGTCGAAACCGAGAATTCGTTGTAACTGGCCATCGGATGGAAGTACAGGGTGCTGAAGTTATCAGCATTGGGAGCGGAGAGACCTAGGCCGAATATCGCGTCAGTCCAGCTAAAATTGTGGCCTTTCACGCTGAAATCGCAGGCCAACGGATCGGGGTTAAAGTAGTGATGGGTTATGCGCCACGAATCGTTTTTCTCCCATGAATAGACGACCATGGCCGGTTTGCCCAAGTCGCCGGCATACGCATAAGTTTTATCGCAGTCCGTATCCTCTACGGCGATATTGGCAAAACCGGAATCTTCTTTAACCTGGTCTTCGGGGAACACGTACTTCCTGAGTAGATTGTCGGTTTTCAAATCGTAGATTATGAGCGAAGGAGGATATTTTGTGGTATTGCTTTCTAAGGTTGCTAAAGGTTGCTAAGGTTGTAAGTGCTATGTAATTCGTTTTACTAGAAAAAGATGCTCATTTTCTCAAACGTATCTATCACATTAATGATGCACCACTATCTGAGGTAGACTCTATTAGAGATCTGGGTGTGACCATTGATAGTGAGCTGCAATTCAGCACACATATTGAGAATGTTACCTAAAAGAGCTTTAAATCATTGGGATTTATATTTCGCAATTGCAAAGAATTCAAAAAACCAAACACTAAAATCACAATTTATAATGCTCTCGTACGCAGTGCCTTAGAATATTGCTGCATTGTGTGGAACCGTGTGCGATATACAAGAAACGATTGGAAAGTGTCCAGAAACGGTTTCTATGGTACTTGTCTTACAACTACAATCTGGGTAGGAAGTTACCCAGCTATGAAGGTAAACTTTGCTACTTTAATTTAGATTCTCTTCTTAACCGGAGGAAACTAAAGGGGGGTATGTTTCTGTACAAATTAATCCATGGAATAACCGACACACCTAATCTCTTGACCCAGATAAAAATATCAGCCCCTAAGTACCTACCAAGAACAAAGAAATATAAACCGTTTATAAGAAAGCCCGCTCGTTCGAATTTAGGTGCTTACTCTCCCTTAAACAGAATCCTTTGGGACTACAATAATGTCCACGGTAGCGCGGTCTCCGTCAATGTTCATTCGGAGTTGTCCGATTGCGATGAACTAATTTTAAGTGAAATAGATGTTTTTTCTAATTGTCTCACAACTTACAGGAAAAATCTGTCGCGCATCATTTCCCAATTAAATATAAATTAAATCTTAAGCAATCAATCAAATGTAATCAAATCTTAGTTATATATTTTATTTTTTATTTTTGATGTTAATGCACTGTCGATTGTACCTATAATTGAGGTGACATCTGCCATGAACTTTTGTCAATTGTTCAATGTTTTGTATCGATGATCACTTTTTTTTTTATAGCCTATATGCGTGGACGAGCTCACAGCCCACCTGATGTTAAGCGGTTACTGGAACACATAGACATCTACAACATAAATGCGCCACACACCTTGAAATATAAGTTCTAAGGTTTCAGTATAGTTACAACGGCTGCTCCACCCTTCAAACCGAAACGCATTACTGCTTCACGGCAGAAATAGGCGGAGCGGTGGTACCTACCCGTGCGGACTCACAAGAGGTCCTACCACTTTGTTGGTGCAACTTAATAAATAAATAAATAAAAGAAAAATTCAATAAATAAATAAATAAGACAGAAGCAATAGTCACTTCCGAAATTTTTTGGGAAAATTGACATGTTAGTTCCGGATGGAAAAACGACTTAAGAAAATACTGGTGTTCCATTAATTGAGTCGACCAATATAAACACTACCAAATCGAACTGTACAATTGTTTTGTTTTTGTTGTTTATAAGGTTGGACGAGCTCCCGGCTCGGTATTAAGTGATTACCGGAACAAAATAAAACAGCGCCCCTAGCGGCAAACCGGAAAAAACAAACTTTTTACTGGTGGTAGGACCTCTTGTGAGTCCGCACGGGTAGGTACCACCACCCTGCCTATTTCTGCCGTTAAGCAGTGATGCGTTTCGGTTTGAAGGGTGAGGCAGCCGTTGTAACTATACTTGAGAACTTATATCTCAAGGTGGGTGGCGCATTTACGTTGTAGATGTCCATGGGCTCCAGTAACCACTTAACACCAGGTGGGCTGTGAGCTCGTCCACCCATCTAAGCAATAAAAAAATAAATAAAAAACGCAGGCAAGCGTTCTGACTCCATACAAATTTGAGTTAGCTTTTACGCGATCATAAATATCATATTATGCAAAGAATGCAGAATGGCATCTTAAGAACCATAGCAAACGTGCTTGTTATACGGAATTGAAAAAATATCTTTTTGAAAAAGATTTTAATGCCGAAAAAAATAAATATAAATACAAATATTTACTAGCAATCACGCCACGTTAACTGGTCCCGCGCTAAGTTCGTAAAGAACTTGTGTTACAGGTACCAGATACCGGAAATAACCCTGGAAAGACATTCATATTTATCATACAAATATCTTCCCTTGGCGGGATTCGAACCCGCGACCCCATTGTGTAGTGGTAAGTGACATTTACCACTACACCAGACGGCCGTTACCGAAAAAAAATATATAAAGATTTCACGACGATTAATGACGGCAACCGTGCCGTGTGGAATTAGGAATAGGACTGACTGGATAGGGAGGGGATTGTTCTCTAATAAAGGATCATAACTGCTGATGCTATTCGGGAAAGGTGATGATGAAAGCTAAGCTAGGAACCAGAGGGTATCATAACAGTGCCATGGTTTGTGACAAACACTGAGATCCATGAAGCCATGAACATGAGAACTGTTAAAAAAGAGATAAGCTTGACAGGGACTAAGTACAGAACTCGGCTGGAAAACCACCCAAAGACCCTAGCTAATGCGTTGACAAAAGTCAGTTACATCAAACGACTGAAACGTCATGATATACAGGGAGTTGGTGATAGATGGTGATCAATGAGGAGTCTCAGATAGGCACAAAAAACTTTTTTTTCTCTTATCTGTGCTGATACCTATGCTGCCTTGAGAGGCAATTTCAGCTTCACCCTAACGTGTGTAGGTGAGCTCACGGGGCTCAACCCGGAGTGTTGCTAACACTGATCCTAACAAGAGCAGTGCTTCGCAGAATCTACCACCGGATCGGAAACGCGACCCACTGAGAAGATCCGGCGAGAAACTCAGTGGGCTGTGTCTATGGGTTAATTCGCTCGTCGAGCCCTTCGTCGCAAGCGACGGGCTCGACGAGGACGGTGACCGGTGCTTGTGGTGCCTAAAAGCACCGTTATTGGATCGAGAAACTTTTACACGATCGAGAACTTTAAATAACTCGCACAAGTACGCCGATCATCCGAGGACCGCAAGCGATTACCACTTAATGCCATTACATTATTTAAAGCCATTACATTTATTACATTAGTCCATTGCAACGAATTTGTCCTTAAACAAAATTTACATAACAGCAATTCCATTGTAGTATTAGTCATTGAACTTCATATTAGTTTGAATGAAACAATGTTAATTGATTAATTGTGGGTCCGTTTCGTGACGTTACCGATGACTCAATTTAGTGCCCATGTTTGTTGTGACGGGTTGCTACGCCGAGAGCTATTATATAGTTATATGTCTGTACGTTTGTTTTTATGTAATGGAATCTTTGAAGGACATTTCCATTGACTTCAAGATGTTCGAATAACTTGAAATTTTCCACACGAATCAAAGAGCAATGATGAGACAATAATTCCCGATCCTGCAGACGACAGAATGATAAGCATTCGCCCAAAATACGTCATTTCGGATCCTCCCGATCCACTAACGGTGCTTTTAGGTACCCCAAGCACCAGTCTTTCTTCTCGTCGAATCAGTCGCTTGCGACGAAGGCTCGGCGAGCCACTGAGTTTCTCGCCTGATCTTCTCAGTGGGTCGCGTTTCCGATCCGGCGGAAGATTTTGCGAAGCACTGCTCTTGCTAACATTTGTGTTAGCAACATCGTCAGGTTTGAGCCCCGTGAGCTCACCTACTAGTTAGGGTTACGCTGAAATGGTAGCTCAAGACCATCAGTTTAGGTAGGAAAAAAAAATTAACACAATAATTTCATAACTTCGGTGTTATTATACCCGATGATGAATGAATGAAGTTTATTATTAGTCCCGTTTCCTGTTAAGAACTTGCTGTTGTTTTTCTGTTTTATATAAACATGTCAGAGGAAGCAATTAGTCGAGTTGATTCTTGATTACATGCATAACGCTTATTATTATTATTATTTTACGTTGAAATTACTTTTATAATTCCTAATTTTATTTTATTTGGTTTGTTACGTTTTTCTATAACTTTAAAACCTTTTATAAAAATAAATTGTAATAAATGGTATAAAAACTGTAAATTCACGTAGGCCGCGACCAATCAGAGCAGAGCGTTTGTCTCGAGCGTGATCAAGGCGCCATCTTTACTTTGGGAAGGCTTGTGTTGTCGGTTGACGCATTTTTTGAGCATAAAAACGTATCGAGTTGGATCGTTGGGGACAGTTAAAGTGAGATTGGTGCACCGAACTCGCTGCTCGGTCTCAACTGTTATATTCTCGTATACTATTACTGTGGAATAACAAAATATTGTATAAACTGAATTAAACTACCGATAAAGCTGATAAATAGTGATCATTTGTGTTTTTTGCTCACACTTCATCCCAATGAAGCCCACTAAGCCCACAGCCACTAATGACGATGCCATCGAGAAGAGCCTTTCCCCGACATACATATATCTATTATTTTACTATAACGTCGTGATCAGTGTTAAGTTTATACCAAAGTTTCTTTTGAGACTGAGAGATGCCGTTGGCTTAAAAGCCTTTTCAGTTCCACCACGATGGGTGGGCTTTCTCGAGAACCGAGTTACGAGCAACGGAATTCCTGTTTTAGTGCCTCTACAATATGATGGGTAGGAAAGTTGGTATGACTTTTTGGCGGAAACGTGAGGAGTGAAGTTGTGTGATTTGTTTTATTTTGTCTATTTAGTGTTTCTTCAGGTTTAAATGTGTAATAATGGTGGTTTATTAACTGTTTAACATCTGTGAAAGTGCACAAATGTGGGAAAATGAAACAAAGCCGCTGGACGTAACTTCTCGGGATCCTCCAAAAAGTCCACTGAAAAAATCTTAGTAAATGACCACCATTTTACTGAGATTATAAATATTTCATCCCATATCATCTCATTTCATTTCATTTAATTTCATCCCAGCTGATTAATGTCTCAAATTAATCATCTTCATTCCATTTCACTCCATAATATCATTTTTCAAAAAAGTATGAATACAAATTAAAATAAGACATGACTTAAAGGTCTCAGTTACCAGGTCATAAAATCCCTTAAAAAAAAAAGAAAGTTGGTATTTATTTTCACTGGTGGTAGGACCTCTTGTGAGTCCGCACGGGTAGGTACCACCACCCCGCCTATTTCTGCCGTGAAGCAGTAATGTGTTTCGCTTTGAAGGGTGGGGTAGCCGTTGTAACTATACTGAGACCTTAGAACTTATATCTCAAGGTGGGTGGCGTATTTACGTTGTAGATGTCTATGGGCTCCAGTAACCACTTACCACCAGGTGGGCTGTGAGCTCGGCCCCCCATCTAAGCATAAAAAAAAATTTAAAAAAAATGTTACAATTGAAACTTTTGACAGTATTTATGAGAAAAATAGTGGTGATACCAAATGATTCCGCATATTAATTCAATTTCGAATATTTTTGGAAATTGTACACTTTTAATACGAAAAAACGATATGAGAACGCTCAATTCGTTTCTTATCGTCTGGTTCGTGTCCGTCTTTTAGGAAGTCAAAATAAATACTGCCTTTCGCTAGTCACGTCCGCCCTCGTTTCATTTCTCTCTTTATTTTTGAATTCTTATTATTTATTTATTTATTTATCGTATGGCATTCGTTTACACTGCGTGGTTATAATTTAAATTTACAGTCTATGAAATAATCGATAGCTTCTTCCGTTACATTTTTGAGATCTTCCACTTGGCCTGCGAATTTCGTTAGTGGGCATTCCATGACAATGTGGCGTACAGTTAGCTCTGGGCATCCGCATTCACAGCTTTCGTTTTCCGTCCAGCCCCATCTCTTCCGCAGCTGGTTACAGTGACCAACTCCCGTTCTCAGGTGGTTAAGCATGCACCAGATTGGGCGTTTTTCTTTGAAACCAGGTGGGTGGGAGTGTGGATTCAGCTCAAACAGTTCAGGTGGGATACATCTGGCTACCCATTCTTTAACCCAGGCCTCGTTTGTGTTCCAATTGGAGTGTGGTTGGTGGGCCCGTAATGCCGGTGGGTTTCGTGACTTCAATCTCGTTGGTTTGAAACTGGCTAGGTCCGTGTTGATAGGCAGCTCGGGTCGTCTAAGCGCATTTTCTATCTCTGCGTATAGGTGGTGGGTGCGGCGAAGGTGGGATGGGGCAATGCTGCTCAGAGCCGGAAGCCAGTGCAGAAGGGTTGGTTTTAAGCACACCGTGAATTCTTGTTAAGTGTCTGTTTTAGTCTGTAGTCGTTGTAGGTGTTAAATCCTGTCAAAGAGGTTGCACGCCACGACAATCGTCATTTAAAAAGTTAGATAACGACGTGCCGTTACAAAACTGTGTTACGTAACGCGAGGGAAATGCCCTGTTTTTTTATTTACATGACACGGAATATGGGCCCGATGCTAATTCACTAAAATGCCTAATTTAGTAATTTTTTTCTGTTTATGTTGGGAAAGTAGGTGGACATGTTGGGCGTGGTGTTTGCCCATTGTTACCAGAAGACGAACCAAACCCTTCTCTTGCCCCTGTTGATGGCATGCATTGCTATGCGAATGACAGTATGGGGGATGTGTGATATATCGGCCATCAGAGTCTCTCTCGGAGCGTGGTGAAAGAGAGACGATCTAAACTTGTGTGTGTCCGAGTGGGATCAATAGAAAAGAGAAAATGTTATAGTGAGCAAACCTTAACATACAGACCTATACTGTCGCGGACTTTTTTTTAGATCTTTTAAAGGGAAACAATTCTGTCATACATTATTTTAGCGAAACTTTAACCAGTTCTGCAGCACACGCAGCGGAAGCTCTCAAAAGGGAAATAAACCCGATTTTGAAACATTATTTATTGGTGCTCCGCTTGTCTTAGTCTTAGCGTGATGTTATATAGCCTATAGCCTTCCTCGATAAATGGGCTATCTAAAACTGAAAGAACTCTCTTAGTTCAATATTACAAAAGAATTATGAGCTTAAGAAGGGACCGTCCCACACACTGACTTGTTCAGCATTTTTCCTTGTAAAGCGGGGACTTCTAGTCAACAATTCCCAGAAGAGGACGTGATAGCGAAGCACAAAGCGGTTTGCGCAAAGCCCGCATTCGCAGACGCAAGACTAAAGGATATTTACGAAGTAGGTATTTAATTTATTATTAATCGCTATGCTATACAATTAATTTTAGCCTCCACATGGCGTAAGACGTTCATTCAAAGTCATCTTCGTTGGTATTAGGTACGTGTTGTAAATTGCACAATAAAATTTATTATTTTATCCTTTATTAATAAAAATAACAAATCAAAACGATGTATACTTATAACTAGTCAGGTCATAAGTATTGTCACACAGTAAAAACTTTTCTTTTAGAATGCTGGCCACAAAAAAGTTTATTGAATTCGAATTTCGAATTGTTTATGAAAATAAAAATATATATACTTTTAGAATTTTACTCATTTTTTAATATGGAGTGGACGCTTAAATAAGACCGTGTTGCAGTTATTGCGTTGCATCGTTGCGGTTACGCGCCAATTCAAACTTTAACATACTGAAAATTTTTAATATAACCAAAAGATTCGTTTATCGTACCATCAAACGATACAATGAAGACTCTAGTGTAGATGACAGGTCAAGAAGTGGTCTCCCTCGGTCTGTTAGGACTCCAGCAGTGACAAAAGCTGTGAAGGCGCGAATTCAAAGAAATCCCAAACGTAAGCAGAAACTGTTGGCCCTTCAGATGGGGTTAAGCAGAACCACGGTGAAAAGGGTGTTAAATGAAGACTTAGGGCTTCGGGCATATCGAAGAAAAACAGGACATCGTTTGAATGCTCGTCTAATGGACCTGAGACTGAAGAGATGCCGCGCTTTGTTGAAGCGGTACGCGGGAAAAAAATATCGGGAAATTCTTTTTTCGGATGAAAAAATTTTTACCGTAGAAGAGAGCTACAACAAACAAAATGATAAGGTGTACGCACACAGTAGTGAAGAAGCGAGCAACCGTATTCCGCGTGTCCAACGAGGTCATTTTCCATCCTCGCTCATGGTATGGTTGGGAGTTTCTTATTGGGGCTTAACAGAGGTACATTTTTGTGAGAAAGGTGTAAAAACGAATGCAGTTGTGTATCAAAATACAGTCCTGACGAACCTTGTGGAACCTGTTTCTCATACCATGTTCAATAACAGGCACTGGGTATTCCAACAAGATTCGGCGCCAGCTCATAGAGCGAAGAGCACACAAGACTGGCTAGCGGCGCGTGAAATCGACTTCATCCGGCACGAAGACTGGCCCTCCTCCAGTCCAGATTTGAATCCATTAGATTACAAGATATGGCAACACTTGGAGGAAAAGGCGTGCTCAAAGCCTCATCCCAATTTGGAGTTGTGGCGGGTAGCCATCATACAACGCAAGATAATTGACAGATGCCTGAATCTCGCTTACGACGTCTATACGTCGATCTATCTCTCGGACGTGACATTCGATCTAACTTGGCTGACAGAGCTTGTACCTGCTTAGTGAGCGCCGCAATCTGCTGGTCTCCCGTTGTGGATGAAGCGGAAGCTGTTGCGACCTGCAAACCTGGTGCCGCTATATCCATAATCTGGTCTGCCAGTTCCGAAACCTCTTCTAGCTGTAGTTTGCTTTGGGAGGCGTCGATGGTCGGCCATCACCGTAGGTTTCGTGTTCTTTTAACACGTGCTACCGGACCTGACGCTTCAGGGAGTCGTCGCTCTTCAAACCATTTTCAAAAATGTCGTAAGCGAGATTCAGGCATCTGTCAATTATCTTGCGTTGTATGATGGCTACCCGCCACAGAGTCACTCAAGACATCCTTGATTAAGGCAGCCGCCTATATTGACATGGACCTCGTTCGTGCTGCGATAGACGACTGGCCGCGCAGATTGAAGGCCTGTATTCAAAATCACTTAATTAGGAGGTAATTTTGAATAAAATTTAGTGTCATAGGAATCTATGTTTTGTTAAGTTAATTTTCGTATATGAATGGTTACATAATTAATAAACTTGTTTCTATTATTTTACATTAAACATGTGACAGAATTTATGACCTGACTAGGTATTATAAGGCCGAAGAGTTTGTTTCTTTGATCGCGCTAATCTCAGGAACTACTGGTCCGATTTGAAAAATTCTTTCAGTCTTAGATAGCCCATTTATCGAGGAAGGCTATATAATATCACGCTAAGACCAATGCAGGCGGAGCACCAATAAAGAATGTTTCAAAATAGGGGTTTAAATAGCTCCTTAACATTCTATAATTCAAAAATATTTTCACTTTCTACGTAAATGAAGTGGGGGGTAAAATTTAACGTTATGGCAAAGTAACTGTTCCACGCGGACAGAGTCGCGGGCAAAAGCTAGTAAAAAGCTAATAAACAACCAATTCTGTCGCTAAAGAACAGAACTTAAGGAAGGAATTGAGTTTCGTGTACAATATCAACAAAGGTTCCAAATAACATCACGCTAAGACCAATACAAGCGGAACACCAATAAAGAATGTTTCAAAATCGGGATTTTTTTCCCTTTTGAGAGCTTCCACTGCGTGCGCTGCAGAAACGGTTAGAGTTTCGCTAAAATAATGTATGACAGAATTGTTCCCCTTTAAAAGATCTAAAAAAAAGTTCGCGACAGTATATGTCTGTATGTTAAGGTTGGCTCGCTATAACGTTTTTTATGCTAACCAAATTTGTTCTAAAACAAAGCATTATTTGTGAACTATTCCACGCGGACGAAGTCGCGGGCAAAAGCTAGTTTCACATAAATAAATTCACACAATAGAACAAATCTTCCAATGCGCTTGAAGTAGGCAGTTCCCAAGATACTGGCTACGTTACCTCTTTGGACAGCCAGACTCACTTTCTGTGCAAAGTACCAGCCAGCCTTAGCATCACGTGTCCTTCAAGCGTTTGAAGATTTCTGATAAAACTTATTTGAAGCTTATTTTAACTAGCGACCCGCCCTCGCTTCGCTTCGGAAACTGTAATTTATTATTGATTTCTCCACTATTTAATGGATGTTATTATACATATAAACCTTCCTTTTTTTTCCCCTACCTATGCTGATAGCCTTGAGAGGCTATTTCAGCTTCGACCTAACGTTTGTAGGTGAGCTCGCGGGGCTCAACCGGAGAGTTGCTAACACTGATCCTAGCAAGAGCAGTGCTTCGCAGAATCTACCACCGGATCGGAAACGCGACCCACTGAGAAGATCCGGCGAGAAACTCAGTGGGCTAGCTTCCTCTTCAACCACTCTATCTATTAAAAAAAACCGCATCAAAATCCGTTGCGTAGTTTTAAAGATTTAAGCATACATAGGGACAGACAGATATAGGGACAGAGAAAGCGACTTTGTTTAACACAATGTAGTGATTTATTTGAAAACGACGTTATCACGCGGTTATCTTTTTCTTTTTGGCGGTAATTTTATATTGTCACACATGCCACACGTATTATGTTAGAGGGCGTTACCTTCTGGGTTCCATATTACCTTCGTCGGCACGGGTGTCAAATGGTATCGGTTGGATTTTTACGTGTATTAGATTGGCGTTAAACAATAAAATCTGCATGGCCAGTGTTATATGTGTTACCGCAGGCTTGAGGCTGTCCTGTCTTTCAAGTAGAAGATTGCATCGCGCCAGAACCGATTATGTATTGACGGAACTTCACGGAACCCACTGAATCTCTCGTCGGATCTTCTCAGTGGGTCGCGATTCCGATCCGGTGGTAGATTCAACGTAGCACTGCCCTTGCTAGGGCTAGTGTTAGCAAGCTCTCTCAGGCTGAGTCCCATGAGCTCGCCTCCCATAACAGCGAAGCTGATATACCCTTCCGAGGCCACCAGCGATAAGGCAGGAAGAAAAAAAGGTAGAAATAAGCGGAACGGTGGTTACATGTGCCGGCCACAACCTAACCACTTAATGTTACCTCGATTTGCAGAAAACGATATACTTATTATTCGAATAGTGTTTTCAAGAATTGCTGTTAATTAATTGGGAAGTTGAGGTCACCGATAAGCTTATTTTAAAATAAAAATGTAATATAATTTAAAATGAATTCTACATTTGCTATCTGAATAAGCATTGGAAGATTCTAATGAATTCCTAGAATATTTCATCATTATTTAAATGTACTTTAGTAGCTTAATCTTGGTCCATTAGGAGGATTATGCCAGTAGACAGCAGACTCGGCAGGGGGGTCGGTGACCGTAGTACCATGTTCTTTACTCAGGGCGTGTTGCCGCCCATGTCCTGGTGTGTTCTTATTTAAGGACATAACTTATTATGGATGGTTATACCGCTATATAAAAACAATATACTATATCTATACTAATATATAAATCTGCAGTGGTTTTTACGGATGTTCCGTTATAACTACTGAACCATGCATCCGATTAACTTGAAACTTGGTATCCGTGTAGAAAATACATGTACTTAATGTATAGGCTAATATTAATATAAACGTTGGACTCCCTAATAATAATGACAATAAATAATAACATTAATTTCAAATGCCCAGCGAAACGGGCGAGTACGGCTAGTAAGTTATATATCTACGTATTGCGGTAGGCAGCAGAGTCTATCGAGAAACTTGCTGCTCAGGGTAGGGTCAATGGTAAAAGATCTCATGGACGANACATGTACTTAATGTATAGGCTAATATTAATATAAACGTTGGACTCCCTAATAATAATGACAATAAATAATAACATTAATTTCAAATGCCCAGCGAAACGGGCGAGTACGGCTAGTAAGTTATATATCTACGTATTGCGGTAGGCAGCAGAGTCTATCGAGAAACTTGCTGCTCAGGGTAGGGTCAATGGTAAAAGATCTCATGGACGAAACCCCGTATGCTGGACTGATCAGATGAAAACCCTTAATTCCTCAATTCGCGATGTATGGAGAACAGCTGTCAAGGTTTTAATAGCCATTCATAGCCAAACAAGGATTCTTCATGACCACAACTGCTCCGCCAAGACTAAACCACTATGATGATGAATAGCGCCATCTGTCGGTCGCCATGGCCTCGTCTGTTAGCTGGCAAGGTCCACTTTGGACAGGTGAGGCTAGCTATTGAAGGCTATTAAACCTAATGGACAAATACGTAACAAGTCTTAAGCAGCGTCTTTTAGCGCTCGTGCATGGACGCATACTGTCATTTTTTGCACATGTCTCCCGGCGAGGAAATGACTCCATAGAACGCCTTGTCGTCCAGGGCAAAGTAGAAGGCACCAGACCGCGTGGAAGGCTGCCCATGCGATGGACCGACCAGGTCAAGTAGGCGGTTGGCGGTTGTTTGCATGAGTGTACCAGGCTCACCACAAATCGGGAGGAGCGGCGATTGCTCGTGAGACGCCTAACATCTGCCCACAACAATGATGCTGGATGACGACTACGACCACTCTGACAAGAGCAATACGACATACGAATGGACAAAGCACAAAATGAACGGCCCCCAGTCCCGGGCAGTCCCGCTATTCCTGGTTATGCCAGCGGCTACGGTAACGGTAGGACAGGGGGTGCTAAGAATCCCCCGGTGCGATCCGATATCTTGCGACGATATGCTGGAGAAGATTGGATGCGGGAGGCGGAGGACCATTCATCGTGGCGGACTACGGGAGAGGCCTACATCCAGTGGAGAGAGACAGACTCATCTCCTATTTTTATTATCATCACATTATTCCCGCCGTTTCAGTTACAATTCAGTTGTTGTGTCGATGACATTTGAACATTGTACCAATTACCATGCAGTTTTCTATCATAACTATCTATATATTACTATATAATACGGGAAGCAAAAACTTTGTATCCCTTTTTACGAAAATTGCGCGGACGGAGGAGTATGAAATTTTCCACACTTATAGAGAATAAAGAGAAGAAGTGCACAATGCTAATAATTTTTTTTAAATAATGCATAAAAGATACATTAAATCAATAAAGAAAACATCACACACACTACATACCATGTATTTGACGCACACACGCATGCATACTATTTATTGTCAAACTTTTGTTCTTGACGTCTGTTGTCAAATTGAGAATATGTAGATTAAATATTGTTTGTCTTTGTTAATATTTTTTTATAGTATAGTCTTGGCGAAATTTGTGATTATAGAAGTATAAAATACAATCATAATAGTGTACAAACTTACAATTCCAATTAATTATAGTCGAATTTCGACTACTGCGGGACCTCTAGTTTCTATTATTGTGTACACTGAAAGAACTAAGTGCATCCTAAGGTCTAGCTTATTGTTGAACTTGGCTTTTTGTCTTCGCGATGAAAATATTCAGAGTATTAAAATTATATCAACAATGTTTCTAATGTCTTTCTCGTCGTTAAAACTCGCGGAAATCGAAGAAAATACTTAAAACAATTTAAAAGCTATTGGGTATTACAAAATATTATCATTACGAAACACCTCTTAATATGATACCAGTTTGCTTTTTATTTTCATTTATGAAATTGATATTATTTTTCTTTCGCGTCGCGCATTACGTTTTGTAAGTAATATCAGTTGAATATTATTTTTTTGTTATCTCTCCGGCTCGATAGACCTTAAGGTTATTTATGTTACATAAT